GTTGTTAGCGACAAAACATATGCCAAGAAAGGGACTCATGTTTTATAACATAGAAGCTGAATAGAAAACAAATGAAAATATTTCTTTTTACTGCCATTTATTTATACCCACAATAATCATTGTAGGAAAAAAGGAACTTGTTAAATTACCCTGAATTCATATGAATTTTAGGGCAATATATATATATATATATATATGCATAATTTGATAGTACAGAAGAAAATGGACCTGCGATGGAAGAGGAGGTGGACATGAGAAACATAGATCATGCACGGCGGTGGATGGGGCATTCCACTAAGTCGCCTTAGCGGTTGTCTTCCCAGCCAACTAGTGTGATTTCCCTGAGTTGAAGACATTTTGATCAGATGAGGTCAGTCTTATTTTGCAGGTTCATCGAACACTTGATGATCACTCTGTTTTGTGATCTTCGTGTCATAAATGGTGGTGTTGGAGAGAGGAGGCGGCATTAGACAGGTCCTGGAAATGGAGAAGTTATAATGTATGTTGATGGTGGTTTGGGAGGGTTGAGATGCATGGGAGGATGAGGACGAAGCGGCGGAGATGACGATGGAAGGAAAAATGGAGATGATTTTGCACGAGAGTTGTCATCGAAGAAGACTGTATCCCTTGATCGAGGGTTTTACGAGACCTGTCTACCCACAACCCCTCAGCCATGGCGTCAATCACCAGGCTTCAGGCTCCAGGCTCCAGGCCACCATCTACAATGGTTAGTAACATGTTTGGGATTGCTTGTTTGATAATCAGTTTTTAGTGTTTGAATGGAAAAAATAAATTGTTTATACCGATGGTAAATCGGAAATAAAAAGTTTTTAATAAGTTAGTATTTTTAATTTATCAAAAATAATTTATCAGTTTTGAAAATCAAATTATTTTTTTGTCCTTTTATTTAACCCTTAAAAACCTATTTGTTTATTCTATTTTTTCATTTGCATGATTTCTCTAATCTCATCTTCCATCCAGTGGCGTGTAATCGATCGAAGAGATGGCAACAATAAGGATTCGAGTTTGATTATTTCAATCCAGTGTATACATTGGAGCTCAGGCGACATTGGTTTCTTCAGATTCTGTTCTTTCGCAACAATTTAGGGTTTCTAATATGATGTCTCGATGAATGCAATTGCTTACAAAAAGATCGATTTATGCTTCTTAAAATTTCATTTTAGGATTGAAATTAGTATTTCAAACGTTTCGTTGGGGTTTGATCTTCTTTTTGTTCGAACTTCCTGCTTTCGTTTACATTTTTGCTCAAAAGTCTCTTAAGAAGACGACGAATCATGGCTGTCTTCTTCATTATCATTTTGGAGAACGAAGGGGTGTCATTTTAGTCATTTTACATGTATAAGTAAAAATTGTCAAAACGTTAAAAAATAACTTATCAATTTATTACGTTTTGGTACCGCCATAAGTTAATCCAAACATTTTTTATAAAACTTTAGTTTGACACCACATAACTTGACAAGTACTTTCACACAAAATATATATATATATAAACGTATTATATGTTGTATTTTGATAAATAATAATCTTATTATGTTTTTCCAAATGTTTAGTAAAAAGAAACATGTTTTAAAATCTGAAAATTCTCATTTTTGGAATATGTAGAAAACTATGTAAAAATAAAAGTTTCACTTAATTTTCTTATAGTTAAAATGAATTGGTTTTTAACTAACATAAATCAAATTTGAAATATATGAATATTCAAAAACCGGTTTTTGTTCGTGAAATCCCAAAGATTTATAATTTTTACATATATGACACTACAAAATTTCATAATAAAATTAATATTTTTTTTATTAACCTAGATATCCAACCCGTTATGCGAGCTGACTAATTCCAGAGTGACCACCTGCTTTGTAGATAGCCCGGAGTCACCGCATTTGAACCTCCGTGGCCACATGAGGGTTTTTATTCCTCATTGGATTTGAACCGGAGACCTCCTGATACTTTTGACCTTTGGAGTCAAGCTCAAACCAATCAGGCACTACCCTTGTGGTTAATAAAATTAATATTATAGATTAATTGTTTTAAACATATTTAACTTGATGTTATATACAAAACCGAAAAACAATTCATGTGAGTGTAGATCAAGATCAAGGAAACAACTAATTAGAAGAAATCATTATACAATGAATGAAGGTTTCTAAATGAACACGACATAAACAGATAGTTCGTAGGTTATCAAATTATTTAAGGTTGCTAAATGAACATATCCTTAGTTTTATAATATTTAAAATTTAAGAAACTACGTTTAGTTTATTATATATCAATTTCACAATTATATTTTAATTAAATATTAATAAATAAGAGGGAGTTTCATTACAAATATAAAAGACTTATGTTAAAAAATAATTGAAATATTTATGAAAAATTATAATAATTCATTATTGTTATAAATAATATTTATGGAATCATTGTTTTAAAAAATAGATATTTATAAAAACAAATATTTAAATTTACTTTTTCATGGGGAAAAAGTGGTAACCGAGAATTACAATGTTAGTAAAAAACAAGGGGACAAGTTATGTCTTTTATCAAAATAGAAGGACTAAAAATGTATTTTTCATTTTCCTTTTAAATGGTGCCTTTCTGCAAATTACTCCATTTCAGTTGGGAATGCAGTTAACATCCATCGCGTGAGTACGAGTCCTCGGTGTACCGGAAGAGAAGTAAGCTGCGACAACGTTTCCTTAGAGCCTCTACACGTTTTTTCTCGCAACGACTAAGAAGGTATGTAAGAAGCAGATATCATCCTTGCAAAATGTACATGCATGCTACCTGTTTGATGAAAGTTCCCAATGAAAAGTTTTTTTCTAATTTACCATGCCTCCTGTTCCAAATTGAAATCTTCTGTGGAAAATGATGTTTAAAGGTAAAGAGTCCTACTTGGTATAGAAAGTGCAATGTTATCAAGTTTACTACTTACTGTGGCATATGTTTGCTTTATTCGTATTCCGGGAGGTGGACGCTAATTGGGGAATGGAGATGGTAGCAATTTTTCAGATATACTTCTTAAGTTTGGTTATTTAGTGGTGAGAAAATGATGGATGTGTCATATGACATAATATGAATACAATTCACTTAACCAGATAGATTTTCGGTTCCTTGCTGTTGATATCAAGTTTAGCATCAGCCAAGAACAGTTAAGAAATGTACCGTGCTACCTTTGGTGTATAATTGTGAACGTTATGGATTAAATAAGTTGTTTTCCCTTAATATTATGGTAAAAGGAATACATATGAGAAAGGTTTAAGCAAGCAATAGGTAATGTACCAGAAGTATTTAAGTTGCGATGAGAACATAACTTGCACATGCAGAGTCATAAATGTGGAAATCCAATTGCACACATGCTACAATGAATTAAACGGTTTTGTATCTAAATACGTTGAATATGTTGTCTCAGCAATATTCGCGATATATTATTTTAGAACTGTTTGCTTAGATTTCCATTATTATTACTCAATAAGTCGCAACAACGTGAAAGAAGAAACTGATATTTACATCTTGGTGTTAGCCCACATATGTTCTTTCTTGGTTCTGCCTTTGGACTGATTGCCACCCCTGTTTTTTTCCTTATCTTAAGTCTTAACTTATCACTGACCCCTTGTAAACAAAGTCAGAGCTTCAGCTTGATTTTTGGGATAAGAATCACCAGTACCTTGTTATGACTTATGACTTTGCATTTTGTAAAAGCAATCTCTCCTTTACTGGTAGGTATGATGAAGTAAAAATATCTCCTGGTGTAAAGAGGATAAGCTTCTGTCATTGTTGGTTCATAGTAGAATATGATGTTTGGCCTTCAATCCACAATACTCCCTCTCAGCCGGCTTGTCGGTAGATGTAATTTAGTGAAGGAAGATGCTAAATTAGGTATTGAACATAATTTCTGGAATTTTGTAGTCTCTCCGTTTTTACAAATGTTGCAAGATCATCCCACAAGAGTTCAGTTAGATGAACAACTACCCTGATGATAAATCTGTTTTTTTTGTAGAAGTTGAGATGAAAAGTACTAACAAATAAGTCATTCTTGGTTTCAAACAGAAATAAGATGGAGTAGAAGATTTATTACCCTCTTGAATCTTTTCCATCTAGTCGATTCCTTTGCAATAATGTTATGAGGCTTTGGTTATGGCTAATCTGGATATCATATTGTTCAATTATCAGCATAAGCTAGTGGGAAAATCAGTCTAGTAAGGTGATTGTCTTGGAAAAAAGGTGCATGTCCAAGGGGATCTCGCATGGTGGGTACTGTGAGTCTGTAACTATCTTATTATATTCAAGTTGCAGCAAAGTACTTATGCTTTAGTTACATCCTCTCAAGCATATCATTTAGTCAATTTTACCTAATTTTATTTTTCTTTTCAGTTTTAGAGATATGGGTTTCGGTATAAGTTAACTGTGTACATATTTTGCAGCAGCAAGAAGCGTCATCTGTAGTAGTTAGATACTTAGACCAAGTTTCTCATAATCGGGAAAACCAATTTTAGTTCCTATTAACTCTCTCTTTCCCCTGTCACTTATTGTCACTATTGATTTTCTTCTATTGAAGGTTGTGAAGCACAGACAAGTTCAGGTGTGCTAGTGTTCTAGTGGTGTCAGCGAAATGCTGGGTGGTCCAGGGCTTGAGTCTGTCGTTGATCGTAAGTATAATACCTCGTTGTTTTCTTTTACTTCTATATCAACTTTCTTTGGCAGTTTTTTTTGTTCAAGAGATTTCCATTAATCGGTTTTGGTTCTTTCTGTGCTTGATTTTATAAGAATTATGTTTATATATATGTACTATCTTTCTCTCCCTTACTGTTTACTGGTCTTGCAGAAATCATTTCAGTTATCACTAATGATGGGCGGAACATAGTGGTGAGATCTGTGGTTTGGATTACTACAGCAAGTAAGGTGCTCAAGTTTAAATTGCTGATTGGCTGTACTAATTAAATAGTTTTACATACAGGGTGTTTTGAAAGGTTTTGATCAAGCTACCAATATAATTCTTGATGAATCTCATGAAAGGGTTTATTCTACTAAGGTTTGTTCTGCCTCCATAAAGAATCTAGGATCTATCATATATAATGGTGTTTTTCTGTTACATTAACTTTAGGTTTGCCAAACAAGATTTGTTAATCCCTTACTCAGATGAACTTTCTATCAGTACATGCACACACACACTTGTATGTGTATGTGTCACATGCAAGCCAAATCATTTCAGCTTTAGATTATGTGTTACGGTTGAAAATGGGTTGGTCCAATGCATGGTGAACAGTGATCCCAGAAAACTTTTTCTTTGTAGATACTGTCCATAAATGTTTCTGAATGGTTAACCATGCATTTATAATTTAGTTGTTGCAAGAACATAAGGTTGCTCGGATTCATTGACTCTTTGATTTGCAGGAAGGTGTTCAGCAACTTGTATTAGGTCTCTACATCATAAGGGGTGATAACATGTATGATGTTTTTAAAAATACATGTGATTGAGTTTATATTTGTTCATATATATATATATATATATATATATATATATATATATGTTTGTAATCAATTCTATCTTTGTCACTTCACAGAAGCATAATTGGGGAATTAGATGAAGAACTGGATGCAAGCTTGGATTTGTCAGAACTGAGAGCTCATCCTCTGAAGCCTGTTATTCATTAATGTGCTACAAGGTATTCTTAGTAAAACCTTGAATCTTGTAAGGGAAGTAGATGATGAAATGGATTTATTATGATATTATTTGATTTAAATATGCATCAAACCTGAAGTGCTATTGACTATTATATATCTATGGAACGTACACAGACCCTCCATCCCAAGGGGTAGAGCGGTTGTTTCTATGAAGAACCAACTCCCTGCTTGTGAAAAGAAGAAAGCTTGCCCACAAAGTTTAAATGAAGAAATAACGAAGAAAAAAATGATCTTTATTATCCCAAATATGTACGATGATCTGCGGCACACACTAAAACATGAATGCATCCTCATAATATCAATAAATCAAGAAAACTCCACCTATATAATGTGATAATACAGCCTAAACCTCAAGAGATGAATCGAAAGAATTATATCTTAAACTTGAAACTACAGCTACTATCCCTGATCCTGATAACATTATCAGCAGATAAGCCATTCACATTAAGCCTGCACCTCACCACTGGCTTCCATTTTGGCAACTTCAACTTACCAAGCTTAATCCTAACCGGAACTCTAGCCCTGATAACCAATGGCACAGTTCCTGTCTGTTGCTGTGCCAGTAACGAGTTCATCACACCAGTAGCAGCTCGAGTCTGTCCAGTTAGAGCCACGTCTAGCACCGTGGTGTTCTTATGACCCTGATAGAATTTGGGCAACGAACCTTCACAAAGATTTGTTCCTCTATAGAGAACCGTCAGCTTGGACCCACCCTCGTAGTAAATTCCAATTTTGGTATTGGGATTTCTTGCCGTAATGTTTACATTAAACTGCGCATATAAGGTGGTGTCATTATCGAGGCTGAACCTAGTAACGGTCATGCCATCGACCGAGTATCTTGGTTGTTTCGGGTCGAACCCAAAGTACACGATTGCTGCTAAGATGCCTAGACTGATAACGAGTAGTACCAGGAGACTTAGTGTCCAACACATGAATCGACAACAGCAGCCTCTCTTCTTTGGTGGTTTAGAGTATTGGACCGGGATGGTTCGGTGGTGTGGTGGGAAGGGTTCGACCACATTGGCATTATCGGACTTGGATGAGCCTCTGGGCACCAATGGAGCAGTGGGTTTCTGGTGTGACTCGAGGTCGTTCATGGGTTGAACTGGGTCAGGGTGGATTCTTTGGTGATCAGCCATTAAAATGCGAATGAAAAGGTTGATATTTGTGAGTTTGTATTCTTATTTTGGATCCAAATGTGGAGATTATATAGGAATGTTGGAAGAAATGAAAAGAGTAGGAAGGTTCCTAAGATTGACTTTGTAGGTATGAAAAGGTTGTTCAGTCTCTTTTCCTAGAACCTCATTAAGCTACAAATGTTTTGTCTTTTTTTTTTAGTTATTATTTTTAATTTATGAAAAATTATAATTTAGTTGAAAATATCGTGTTGGTGTACAACTCATCAAAATTAAAATGGATCCTTGAGTTGTGGATTTCTTTCATACGGGACACGTTACTAAAGAACAGATTCGTCATGCATATTTTATATTTTTTTATGATAAATGTTACTGAAAAAATGGATATTCATGATGTATATCATATTGGTGTACGAGTATTAAAAATTGTTATATATATATGAACGTAGATGAGTTTTCATAATGAATGTTATACAAATATATCGCTTCATGTAAAAAAAATAGTTAAGACCTATATCAAAACGGATATCAAATCAAAAAAAATGAAATGTTTGCTTTTTGATATAATTTGTTGATTAAAATATTATTTATTTTTAAGATAATTTAATTTAAAAATTAAGAAGGTAAAAGTTTTTAATTAAAAATGAAATAGATAGGATTTGTGATTCACCAAGTTAAATTTATATTTGTCTCTAATCACCCTTAATTAACTATTTTATGCTTTAATCTTTAATTCGTTTTCTTAATTTCGATTGATGGTCCAAATCTGTCCATTGAAAATTTAGTTTCCAACTTAATTATGAAACCAAGGAGCCGTTTACCAAACACTTACCCAGGTAAGCGCTTACCAAATCACATTACCTCACCGGATTAATATGGTAAGAACCAAGAATCTTACCCGGTAAAAGCGAGACAAGAACCATGAGTCTTACCCGGTAAGTGAGAACAACGACTCCTACCATGGTAAGCGTTTATCGGGTAAATTGTTGCATACAATGTCGTTTTGGTGGACTAAAATCTTACCGGATAAGTAAATAACAGTATTGAATTTACTAGTAAGCACTTTTCAGGTAAGTGTTTGGTAAACGACCCTTAAATAAAATTATTGCAGCATACATAAATCTCAATTATTGATTAAAAAAATGTATGGTGAAATAAGTGGATATATTTGAATTAATATAATTCATAACAATAAGAACATATTGCAAGTGAAGGGCTTGAGAGTCTTTGTTTGACTTTGTCATACACGTTTTGTTTTGGCATATCACACAATTCATCAAGATTATATATCCGTGGATTCAGACTTAAACTATTACGTATGAAAAGAAGTTGACTTGATCCATTTTTCCATGACACAATGAATCGGTCAATAAAGTGAATTTGAAGCTTTCTATAAGTTGCATTTCATCATTTAAATCAAAATAAACTCAAACAAGTGTGCGCTCTGCACCTGCCTTACATGTTCAATATTTATCATGATTACATTGGTCAACAATTTAATCCCATTACACTTAAATGACATTAGTGATACAAATCATCAACATGAAGTCATCAGATATTGGTTATTTCTCAGACTTACAACATAACTCTGAATTGTTCTGTTCCAAACTTAGTTATATAGTTTATTCCCAGACTTAGAATACAACTCCAAACTCCTCTTTAGAGTTACGTTTCTGAGTTATAAGAAATCAAAATTCTTGTGACTTAGAGTTATGCTCGTAGATACTTTCTAGACTTAGAAAACAACTCTGAATTCCTCTTATTCAGAGTTAAGTCCAGAGTTATTTTCCAGTCTAATAATAGAATTCCGAATTCTTGTGTTTCAGACTTAATGTTCAGAGTTAATGTCCAGAGTTTTTTTCATTTAATAAGAGCCAAGGACAATCATTATCAAAAGTTGGTTTATTTCTATGACAACGGAAAATTTATACAAACTTGTAGCATTGGCTAATTTTAGCAATTAACTCTTGAAAAGAACTTTACACTTGTAGCCAGATTGGTCGTCTTGATTTAGAATTCTTGCAACGCTAGCTATTGTCTGTCATGAACTCTGGAGGATTTCTTAGCCCTTGTGTTTGTCAAGCCTGATTCCGTCTTTCATACAGAGCTTAACAGAGGTTCTGCACATGCTATGCGGTCAATCTGAACCAGACTTCGTGTTTCATGCAGAGCTGCACAGAGGTTCTGCATTTAAGTCTTGAGAAAGAGCTCTGTCTCTTCACGTAATTCGTCGAGGCTCTGTCTCTTACTCCGAAGATGGCTTTCAGACTTGTAACTCTGAATTGTTTCCGTCTTAATCTCTGGAAACTTTCTTTACGCTTGTGTCCTTGAAGCCTGATTCCGTTCTTCATACATAACTTAACAAAGGTTCTACAGGTGCTATGGGGTCATTCTGATCCTGCCTCCGTCCTTCATACAAAGCTTCATAAAGGCTCTGTACTTGTCTTGAGTAAGAGTTCTATCTCTGCATGTACCACCCAGAACCTCTGATTCCCTTTGTTTGTCTCATACAGAGGTATACAAAGGCTCTGCATGTACTAAGTAGCGCTGCATATTGGATCTACATTGTTCGTCTTCAATTAGAAGTTTTTCTGATCATCGAAGCACATGCCGTCCTTTGTATATGTAACATTTAATTCTAGAGTAAGAGAATATGTATATCAAAAATTTAATCGGACTTGTACTTTTGTCTAAGTTTATAAATTACCTCCGATTATTAATTCTTTATAAAATACATATCAGTTTCGTTTTTTGTCATTAACCCGTGTAATACACGAGTCCAAACCTAGTATATATATATATACACACACACACACACATAAAGGAGCGATCAAATGAAAACCACTCAATTTGTAAAAACCGTAAAAACCTCATTCCACCAATCATAATTTTTCATTTTGTTCATTTTTTTGTAATTATGAGAGATTGATTAATCATTTTTATTGTGAAGGATGTTAATCATGGATATTATCATCTTCATTATTTTAATTTTAAAGAAATACATGAAAAAGTTTAATTAAAATTTCATTAAGTAGTATATGAAACAATTTCATAACCATATATGAAACAACTTCATCAAAAAAAGTATTATATGAAACAATTTCACAAGATTAAACAATTTCATGAAAAAATTTCATAAGATTAAACAATGAAATCGACGAATGAGAATAGTTTTTMCRRTTTTTACAAATTAGAATGGTTTTCATTTGATCGCTCCTCTATATACATATAGATATATATGTGTGTGTGTAAACTCCATTATGGAGATGAAACAGAAGATAGGAAAGGTGGATGGTGTTTTAAGCGGAAGTAGATGGGATGGAGTAACCGGAGCAAAGATTGAAGAACCTTTTTTTGGTCGATGGTCCCTATTTTAACGATGTGTTGAGGTTTACAACGACAAGATCGTGGGTTATTTATGTTCTCGATTCCACGACAATTCTCATGGGGAACTCCATTGTTCTTGATTCATTCTCGGTATACACATGTTTGGCTCTGCAATTTGGTCCCTGGGTGTTTTCTTGGTACGCACATGTTTGAGCCCTATGACTTGTCGATGGCCAACGATGGAGTTTGGCCTGTGATTTGGCCTCTGGGTTTGGGTATGAAAATTGAAACCGTTTTCATCCCTCTCACAAACTCAACCTACTAACCAAATCCGACCCCCACAAACTCAACCTGCAAATCACAATCACAGGGACAAATTGTCCCTATTGATGAACAAAAGGGACAAAACCAAACTAAACTCGGTTTTTCAGCAGAGGGAGAGAAGAGGAAGATGGTGGTGATGGTTTGTGACGTCGGCTATGGAGTTGAAGCCGGTGGTGGAACGACCGAGGAAGGGGAAGGGGAGCACCTGTGCAAGGGGTTTCAAACTGGGGGCTTACTCCAATTCCGATGTGTAGACATGTATACGTACATATGTGTGTGTGTATATATATATAATTATATTTCTAAAAGAAAATTAAGAAAATAGGTAAAAAGACAATGTCCCTCACTCTAACAGAGTTAGTGACCAGGGACCAGTTTCTAAAGTAAAATGAGAACCATGAGGACGATTTATGAAGTTTTCAAAGTTTGGGTCTCAGTTTCAAAGATTTCACTAAAGCACAAGGACCAAAAATAGAGTTTACTCTGGTATTTATATAGGGAAGATACTCAAACATATTTATTACCACTAAGGTTTAAACCCTTGACCTCTAGAAAGGCTAATTGGTCGTTTACCAAATGCTTAGACAGACAAGAGACATCACACTCACTTACCTTATCGTGTAATATTCTCGACCATCAAAATGATTGTCGGTAAACATCTTAAACCCGGTAAGGGATCAAATGGGTCTTGGTCTCTACTTTCTACCACCGTTTTCCTTGTACAAGCCTACAAGGCTAAACTACTCCATACTTCATATAGCTTGAGCAACTTTAGGTATTGTAAACGATCAAATGGGTCCTTGGGGAACCTTGTTTCTTAACGAATTGAGGTGTTAAATACTGCAACTGGCAGTAGTCGAATCAGGTACTTGAGCAAAAACAATCATTGTAACCAATCTCTAGGAACCATCACTTGGTCCTTAGACCGACTATGATCTAACAGGGCTCTATGGCAAAAGTGATTTCTGGTCTTCTTGTACCATTTCTAAAACGGCTTCTAGAAAACCAACACCACCCCGAAAATCTTCTTGGGATGGAAACACATGCACGAAAATATTCAGAAACCCAGGTAAAAGGATAACAAGCAAGTCGATGGTATATTTACAATGCCATTTTTAAAGCTTAAGCAATCAGGTCTTACAATGAGGATGAAAACCAAGTTATAAAAGAATTCTTCAAATTGCAAAGATACAGTAATATTACTTACATATATTTACACTTCATGACCAAGAGGCATCAAGAATTCAACCCTTAAAAGGCCCTCATAGCAACTTTGCTTGTTGCATGAACGCCCCTAGCAGCAACTCTTAACACTGCTCGACTCTGGTACAACCTGTTCAATGAAGATCAGGAGATTAAACAAGCCAGATAAAAACCCGCTCAACTAATACAAGTATTCCTTCATACGTACACGATCAACAGTTTTTCTTTTGCTGATTTATTTTCAATTAAATGATATTTTAGCTCAACATCAGGACTTGAAACTAAACCTCAATGTTTAAACTGGAATAGAATCTGTGTTCTATCCAAATGGAGTAGAATGCTATTTTCCAGTTCTCAATAGATACAAAATCAATAAGAGAGCTTCAAAATAAACATTTGCTATACGGGTTCAGAAACACTATCTACATGCATCTGATGGAGCTCTTTGGCTCGCTCTTTGTATAAAAATTTATGGAATTGCTTTTGGTAAATGCATAGTTTAAGTTTAGAGAAACATTCACATGGAAAAAAAACATTTTTGAAGGATTAACATGCTTGCTATGAGAGTGAGCCAAGCAAGGCATCTAATAAGGGACATATAGTTAACGATTCACCTAACTGTCATGGATTCATCACTGAGCATGAATGAAAAACCAGGCTACATAGCTATACTAAACTGTTTAAATAGCGTTTATTTACATCATTTTATCTTGTATAATTCGAACTTTTGATCGATCTGGATACTTGGGAGCCTATGGATGAAGACACTTCAATCATTTATGATGATCCCTCTAAAGAAGTGGAAGCTTATCGCCATAGATAATGAATAAATAGGAGTTAATATCATTCCAATTGCCATTACAAATCGTGTTATTCTATCAGGCCAAGGCCTCATTATATATATGTCCTTTTGTGTCATTGAACAAACTATGTTTTTGGAGATATAACCTTTATGTTTAACATAAGCTATTTACAACCTCAATTGCCTGACTTTATGCTTGGACCAATGATTAATGATATTCCCTTTACTGGTCATGAGATGGTATCTTTCAAAACAGTCATGGGATGGGCAACGAAGTCTTAATCTCTAGCATAACCTCTCATGAATCTTTTTCATGAACTACCAATATGATAATTAACAAACTCGTGTGTGCAAGACCACTATACAAAAGATCCTTGCTAAAGGACAGGAGCATGTTTAAAATAACCAGTGATTCAATTGACATTGTGTCTACACTTCTTAACAAGAATTGCACAAACGGACCCCTCTGGAGTGTATGACACAAACACCAGTCTTTAAAGAAGAAAACTCTTAATGAGTCCGTCCCCTTTTCCCAAAATATTTATCAAGGAACCATCTTACTTGCATTTCAAATCCAAATGGAAGAAAAAACCAACAAAAGAGCAAGAACTCACCCTGCTAGAGCAAGTCCCCAGGTTGCCATCAAATAAAACATCTCCCCAGCTTGCCATATGTCTAATATCTTCTCAAACTTACTCTTGCCACCCAATGCCTTGGCCAGGGCTGCAAGTTCACAAATTAAAGCATGCATTAGCCCTTGCATCTAAATCAGAATATAACATATGACAACATAAACTTATTGAACATTTCAAGTTTCAAGTTTCAAGAGAGAAACTAGAAGTCCTACAAAATTTAAGAAAGTAAGAAGAAAAGAGTAAATTACAAAGTCATATTGAACTTGAAAATTATACAATACCAATTAGGGTTGTTATAATTAATTATAAATTAGAAATCCTAGAAATTTAAGAAAGTAAAAAAGAAAGAGTAAACTACAAAGTCAACTGAACTTGAAGATGAAGATCAAGACCAATTAGGGTTGTTATAACTAATCATAATTCATTCAAATTTGTGATTTTTATTGTATTTTTATTCCCATAGATTGCATTCGGAACTTATTGTTGTTAAGATAAGTTGAATATGGAAGAGTAACAAGATATAGGGTACATCAAAGGATAGGACTATTACTTAAACAAGCAATACACACACTCATCTTCTTTCTAATCCAAATTTTATGTGGTTTGATTTACACTATGGATTTTATTTTCATGAATCAATATGGATTTATCTTCAAAAAACCCAATTTTAAGGTGGAGCAAAAGAAGACAGTTTGCTATTCCTCCATGGATTTTTCAGTCTAAATTGGTGGATCAAGTTCAAAACTTGAAGATTTGATCATATTCTCTAATCAATCAAGATGCAAATTAGAATTTTCATTTTAGATCTAATTCTTACCTCGTGTGTGCATTTGTTGATGTATAATAATTTTTTTTATTAAAAAGATGAAGATGATATGCAGAAAGAAGGCCAGTTTATCATTAATTCATTCCTTTTCTACAACTTTACTTGGTGGGTTAAGGTCAAAAGATGGAAATTTTCAATTAGTTTATTCCAATTAGAACTTTGGGTCTTAGATTTATCGTGTGTTTTCTAGTTGCATTTGTTGATGTACGATCAATTACATGACTGCCCTAAAGGAAAAAGGGAACCAACTGCCCCTCACAAAGATAGAACAATAACTAGCTCCTTCAGCTGACTCCCGATTTTCAAGAAAGGTTCCATCAAGTAAGAAAAGTCACAATTGGACACCATAACATGGATTAAACAAAAACTTGCAAACTTACTCTTCTGCATCTCCTCAGGTGCCAAATTCTGCATTTCCAGAAAAGATTGAAACAGTGTGAAATTGATGTCTTATGAGATCTTCTGTCAGTAAATCCTAAACATAACAAGAATTGAATGTCTTATACCTTAGCCTTTGGGTTTAACAGAATACATCTAGCCATAAAGTTGGCAATGCCATCCACCACCTGTTCCTGGCTAATAACTACATAATTCTCATTATCAATCCCACTCTTCTCTTCAACATTACCATGGACCATTTCATCAGAGACCCATATCCACAAACTTGGTTCTTCAAGGCCAAAATTAATTAAAATTTCATCTAGTTCAAGATCCATTCCTACCAAAATAAAAACCACACAATGTAAATATTGTAACCAATAGATGCCAAACTTCATCTACCAGGTTTCTCTCCCCATCAGGTTAAGAAAAGGGTAAACCACACAAGCAGATGAATGAATTCTTCAAACATAGAAAGAAACAAATAACCTGATGCATCATTGAGAGAAAACCTGCAGGGTATACCATCAACTGAATTGTTGTGGAGGGTCTTAAGTTGACTCAAGAACTTGGGAGATTCCACAGTATCCATAATACGAGAATGCAGCTGCAGTAGAATTGCTTATAAGTCTTTGCAATGACCATGTGAATCATGTGTATGTGATTCACGCAGCAAAGCTATTCCATCTATTCTACAGATTTACTCGCACTATAACAAGAAAACTTGATCTCTGACTTCAAACAAACATGTATTCAGTTTTCCAATTCAAATGTGCACAGCAGTCACTCCCTTGAGTTGTAAACGAGTGTGGTTACCACGATTAGTAAAAAAAGAACCAATATCAGTTTTGAAGCTCAAAATTATCTCGGTTTGACCACAATAGGTAATAAACGGTTTAATTTTTTTTTTTTTAAAAGAGCGAGTAATATCAATCATCATTTTGAACTCCCTTCTCATCTGAATATGATTACAACTATTCACAGTTCAATCACAATTCCCCCACTAATTCTAACAGTATTAGTGACTCCGGGCGAGAAACATTAAACAACTCATCTGCATCTATTTGTTTGTATTTGTGCGTGCTTGTGTTAATAAGAAATAAGCGTAAATAGCATGTATGATAATAAAGCACATACGTCAGGAGGACAATCCTCCAATAAGCAAGGCGATTCGGATATGTTCTGAAGGAGTTTGAGGTTCTGTTCGAGTAAGCCTCTGAGTCGTTGATTCTCCAATCTTAAAGCCTCCAGTTCCTTTTCTTTCACCTGCTTTTTTTGGTTGTCGTCGTCTGATTTTTGTTGATGTTCATTGTTGCGGGGAAGGTGAGGGTGATGTTCGTGGGAGAATTCGGCGGCTTTAAAAGCCACTTCTGCCACTTCCAACACCGTCTTCGCGGTCTCCATCGTAATTCGGCCCATGATTTACGAATTCTACTACTTTGGTTGATCTTGCAGAAACGTCTGTGTTTTTAGGGCAACGGAAGGTGATGATGATTTAGGGGTGTTCGGATTTGGATCATCCCAAACATTGACGCTTCCCTTTGAGTTAACAAGGAAAGAAAACCTCTGACGGAAGCGACAGTATATATTTTCCACAAATACCCCTCAGCTTTGTTGAATAGACATAAGTGTATTGAAACTATATTTTGGGTTCATCGGTTGAAATCCAATGGATTTAGGTGGATCCGATCTGATCCAATCATCCATTGGTTGTTGGATTTTTTCATCTGATCCGATCCGATTAACATTGGATGTCCGATCGGATCGGTTTCATCTATTAGATGATACTATTGGTTATCCATTTGATTGGATTTGATTCGTCCATTCTTTTTGATCCAATACCCAACTAATTAATTCACCATTTCAACCAATTATTCATATATTTTCTTAAGTTATTAGAAAACAATATGTGTAAATATCAAGTAAAAAACAATATCGTGAAATGTTAATAATTATATATAGTTATTAATTGGATATTGGTTGGATGGGAATTAGATGGCCATTGGATTGAATCGGATCGGTTTTATTGGATGGTGGACTACCATCAAATAATCGAAAAGGCAATGTCTTCTTGCATAATATGGATTCCAAACATTCATGATCTGGATGTGAATGAGTCGAATTATTTCTCCCTAGGTCTATTAGTGAACCTTCTCTCCWGGGATTATGAAACTAGAAATATTCTTGTTATTGCTTCGACTCATATTCCCCAAAAAGTGGATCCCGCTATAATAGCTCTGAATAAATTAAATACGGGCATTAAGAGACCCATCGATTTAGATGTTGAAAATTTGGATCCGATCATGTCCAATTATAATCGGATATCCGATTTTGGTCGGTCGGTTCTAATTGGATCAATAGATTTAAATTAGTTCAGATGATTTTCTACACACCCATAATATTTTCACAAAGAAAATTTATATCCAACTTTAATTATGGTTGTATAAATGGAAAACATAAAATGGTGGGTGTTTTTGTAATCGTATAAGCTCTAAAGTTAATAGCTTTGATAAATCTTTAGTGGTTCTAAAAGGGTTTGAATCGATGATTAAGGAAGTAAACACAAAATCTTATCATTACTTTTATAACAACTTGACATTAATTTATTTGAATAAACCTCATGTTTGCTATATTTTGTAGCGTAGAAACTATTGGAAGTGATTTCATAGAATTTGGCAACTCTTACGTAAACAAACTCCCATCATCATCTTTGAATTTCGAAAGACCGTATGAAATTTTATATGAATAAATCCATTTTATACAATGGATTTAGAAAATTAACATAGTTTTTGACCTATTTGGTTTTGTGGGATTTGATCGGATTTGGAATTGGATTCTATTCAGTCCTGCATTTGGTTTAAAAAAGATCCTTGTTTTCAAGAGCGAATGATGGACAACAAAATCTTGCCTCAACGACATGGAACAAGATAGCACCCCAAAAAAACTAACATCTTCGTCTAGAGGAGCCTTAAAAAAGATCCTTGTTTTCAAGAGCTAAACGAATTAAGAACGACCGCAACTCGATTTTATGTATGATTTGTGATGATGCAATCGAGAGTGTGGAACATTGCTTATCAGGTTGTGATTCTACCAACAATTTGTGGGCAAATATTTTTAAACGGTGGAATATCAACTGCATGATTTCGTGGATCTTCTCTTATTCGATGGAGGCAACCATAATCGATGTTTCTCTGAAAGTTTATGGCAATCGATCATTTGGATTGTGGCTTACATTTTATGGAGAAATAGGAACGCTCGTGTCTTCAAAGGAGCCGGTTTAAGTGAAGATTTATTTGGGATAGTCTAAACTTGCTCACACAACTGGATCTCGTCAAAGATTAAAATTTTCTATAAGAACTAGGTTTCGTGGAAAGAGTTTCTTAATACGATTGTAACTTGATCTTTTGACTTGTTGTTTGGATTTATTTTGTCGGTTTATTGGTCAGTATTTATTGCCTTTCAGTTGTTCTATCTGTTTTTTGTAGTCATAGATGATCTTATTCCTCACCGGCTTTCTCTGTATGCTCTTGTTTTGTATGTGTTCTTTGCTAATTAATGCATTAGCTGTTTTAGAGAAACAATCTTTAAATTTTTTGGCAATTTAAAAGGAAGAAAAAGAAAAGGAAGGATTTGGTAAAAAGACACAAAGTTTGAGGGGAGTCTTGGCCCTTATGATTATATTGAGGTAGTATTTTATAAGATTTCATAATACTTTTTTATAATAATGTTATAAAGTATCATAAAAAAGTTTGTTTTGTAATAAACATTAATAAAAGGTGATTAAAATTGTTTTTATAATTATTAATAAAGTTTTTAAATTTATAAAAGATAAAATTTGATTTCATTCCAAGTTTTGCAAACTAAACATATTAAAAATTCCAAATCATTCCAAAAAAATCTAATTCCTTCAAAAATGTCTCATCAAATCTAATGTTTTCTGTTAACAAAAAGAAACCAATGTCAAATCCGATAAAAACGTGTGTATATATACACACATGCATATACAAAATTGGATTAAGGTGATAAGCGTAAGAAAAAAATTCAGCCTTGGATGTACATTAGGATGAGAAGCACCAAGATGTACCAGATCAATCCACGTATCAAACGCGATTCATAGGTGGGTTTGAGATTAAAGGTGGTTTAGATCCCCTTTACGTTTCTCATCTTAACTCTTCTTCTCACACAATTATTTACCTGCATATATACATATATGATTTTTGTTTGTAAAGATTTGGGTTCCGGTAAAAAATGGATGTTACGGTGAGAATGGTGAGAAGTGATTTCCACCCTTGGATCAATCCTAATCGAATATCAACACTAATGAGATGCACCAGATCAATTCTCGTATCAAGCACAATTCATGGAGTAGGGTGAGATTAAAAGTGATCAAGGGTCCAAATTCCTTCTCACACTTCTCATTTTAACTCATATTCTCATGGGATCTGTTTGTAAAATGGTAAAGCCATCTATCCATATATGATTTAAAAGCAAAGTGATTGAAGGGTAGTTTGTATAAAGAGGACAAAATTAGAGCTTTTAAATTTCAGTGGCCAAACAAGTCGTATGGTTTATCAAACTTCCCATTTTCAGAACATAAATCATAATCACATCTAACACCATAAGGTTAACCCCAGATCATTCTTGAATACATAGGTTACTTCTATAGACTACATCAACAATTGACATGGAGAGCATGCTAGAAACATCTCTCATCTGTTTCCCTATTTATATTGCACCCAATATTCCCTCCATAAATAATTAACTTCCTAAACCAAACTAGAATCAGACCATATCCATAGCAAACCAACATGTCAACTACAGTTTCCTTCTTTGCCCCTCATATTTCAGTATGCAAATCACAAGACTTTCCAAAAGATACAAGAAGCACCACCAGACAAAACCCATGTCCAAAATCAACTTTAGAGATCAAATTCAACAGGAGTAAACTGTTGAAAACCATTGGCCTTAGCCTCATAAGCAACACAGGCACTGGTGCACTTGCAGCAAGAGCAGAACCGGAGAGTCCAGTCGCTGCCGCTTCAAATAGAATATCTTATTCAAGATTCTTGGAGTACCTTAATAAAGGTGCTGTCATGAAGGTGGATTTGTTTGAGAATGGGACGGTAGCAATTGCTGAGATATTGAATCCTACCCTTGAAAAGATCCAGAGAGTGAAGGTTCAGTTGCCTCGATTACAACAAGGCCTTCTGACGGAACTAAGAGAGAAAGAAGTGGATTTTGCAGCTCATCCAAAGGAAATGGACATAGCAGCTGCTGCTATCGACTTGCTGGCGAACTTTGCTTTTCCATTGATATTTCTTGGTGCTTTACTCTTGAGATCGTCATCTACAAACACACCTGGAGGGCCAAACTTGCCGTTTGGACTAGGAAGGTATGATCAAGTAACTTTAAAACTAGTAATAAAATTTTGATGAAAACATGGACTATATAAAGTGTGTTTAAATAGAACCATTTTAGAAAGAAAAAACCAAAAAAAGATCTACCTTGAATTCGAATCTTGAATTTCTTAGGATTGAATCTCTTCAATAAAATTTGATGATGTAGCTGGTGTAGATGAAGCAAAAGTTCATAAATTTCAGGAGCAAGGCCAAGTTCCAAATGGAGCCCAATACAGGTATAACATTTGATGATGTAGCTGGTGTTGATGAAGCAAAACAAGATTTTCAGGAGGTTGTAGAGTTCCTCAAGACCCCAGAAAAGTTTTCTGCTGTTGGTGCAAGGATTCCCAAAGGTGTTCTTCTGGTGGGTCCACCAGGGACCGGGAAGACGCTCCTGGCCAAGGCCATAGCCGGAGAAGCTGGAGTGCCTTTCTTTTCACTCTCTGGATCAGAGTTCATTGAAGTGTTTGTGGGTGTAGGGGCATCTCGAGTAAGGGATTTATTTAACAAGGCGAAGATGAACTCGCCCTGTTTGGTTTTCATTGACGAAATAGATGCTGTTGGAAGGCAGAGAGGAACTGGAATTGGTGGAGGAAATGATGAGAGGGAGCAAACACTGAATCAGCTTCTCACAGAAATGGATGGCTTTAGTGACAGTGGAGTCATTGTTATTGCTGCTACTAATAGACCTGAGATCCTTGATTCTGCTTTACTCAGGCCAGGAAGGTTTGACAGACAGGTTGGTAAAAAACGCAAAAAGAACATTCCCAGAAAAAAGATTTGATATCCGAAAAACTTAATCTAAAATGGATTGATCTTGGACTGATTTTATGTTTTAATGTATAAACCACACTGCCTACTAAGTGATCCTACTGAATGCAGGTAAGTGTTGATCTACCAGATGTGACAGGAAGGGAAGAAATACTAAAAGTTCATAGCAAGAACAAGAAGCTTGGCGAAAATGTGTCCCTAAGTGTGATTGCCATGCGAACTCCAGGGTTCAGTGGTGCTGATCTAGCCAATCTCATGAATGAAGCAGCTATTCTTTCTGGCCGAAGAGGCAAGGATAAGATTACTTTGAAAGAGATCGATGACTCAATTGATAGAATCATTGCAGGAATGGAAGGAACTCAGATGACAGACGGAAAGAACAAGATGTTAGTAGCTTATCACGAAATTGGTCATGCAATTTGTGCGTAAGTAGTCACCTTACCGGTGCCATCCTTATAACACTATGCAATTAAAATAGGTCAGAACTTTTAGATCCTTTGGTGCTTGCAGGACTCTGACTCAAGGGCATGATGCAGTGCAAAAAGTAACATTGATTCCTAGGGGGCAAGCTCGTGGGCTAACATGGTTTATGCCTAATGAAGATCCATTGCTAACCTCTAAGCAACAACTTTTTGCTAGAATAGTGGGTGGTCTAGGAGGTAGAGCAGCAGAAGAAGTCATTTTTGGTGAACCAGAAATCACGACTGGTGCAGCAGGGGACTTGCAACAGATCACCCAAATAGCAAGACAGGTATGACTCTAAATAAACTCCATGCATTTTGACAACCAAAATTGACATAGATAAACTTCGATTTTGAAAAAATCAAGGGTGCCCTGTCGAATTTCATATGAAGTACTACAAATACCAACGTTCATAATGTTCAAATTATCATAAAATCATGCAAGTTTTGGATCATAAAAGATAAATATTTGACTACAGAAGTCATATGAGTAAACTTGAAGTAAAATGTAAGTCAATAGTCGTTCATTTCCACTTATTTACGAATAGATGGTAGGCAAAGGAGTGAATAGGAAAAAATGTACGAATATAACCAATAATTTGCATTCATTTGTGAATAGATGGTTACGAGATTTGGAATGTCAGAGATCGGGACATGGTCACTGATCGATCCAGCGGTACAAAGCAGTGATGTGGTACTAAGGATGTTGGCAAGAAACTCAATGTCTGAAAAACTAGCAGAAGACATAGATACATCAGTGAAATGCATAATCGAGAAGGCGTACGAGATAGCAAAATCACATATAAGGAACAACAGAGATGCGATCGACAAATTAGTAGATGTGATATTGGAGAAAGAAACCCTTACCGGCGACGAATTCAGAGCAATCTTGGCCGAATTTTCCGATGAGAGCAACACCGCCTGTGAATTAATCAAGGCCTAGACAGTCTCCATTTGTTACATACTTGATACGTTTCTATTTTATTTAACTTTTCTTTTTCTAATTAATATTCAAAATTATTTTATTTTATTTTTAATAAATATATTTCCTTATTTTTTATTTTCCTTTGATTATACATTGAAATAAATTATTGAATATTTAGGTGTGTTTGTTTTTTTTTTTTTTTTCAAAAAAGAGTTTTATTGTTCTCTTGTTGAATAAGCGGTCTTTTAGGAGTCTTTGATATTGCTTATAAAAATAACTTATTGATTTATTCTGGTGTTACATTGATAATAAGCACTTTTGAGTATTTGGATTAACAGTTTATACCGGTGTCAAATTGGTAGTAATAAGTTTTTGAAAAAGTTAAATCATTCTAACTTATAATAAATTGATAAGAATTTTCATGGAAAAGTATAAATTCTTTCGAATAAGCCAAATAAATACTAAAAAAATGAGGAATTTTAAATAGTTAATTTGATACGAATATATATATATATATATAATTTTTTTTTTTGTTATGCGTAAAATACTGTATATTGATGCATATTACTTAAAATTCAAGATTATAAGTAATTATGCATAAGTACAACTTATTAAAACTCGATGTTTGAATTCGTATAAATAACTGCGGATAAACATAATCAAATAGAAAGTGAACATCTCATTTTAAAATATAAAAAATCTAAAATATAATTAGAATAATTATCGAGTTCCAACAAAATAAATAATTATTATCTTTATAAAAAAAATTATATTATTAAACCAAATATAAATTACTTCGTTATTGTACATAAATTAAATTATAAAAAAATTGAATTAAAAAATTACACAAAAAATGAGGAATTTCAAATAGTTAATTTGATACTAATATCGATATATTTTTGTCAAATTTTTATGATATCTTCAAACATATATTTTATTCAAAAATAAAAACATCATCGTTTTCTCAAAATCACATAAAGCCAAATTATAACATCGATTGAGATAAAGAATAAAATGAAATATTAAAATTACGATGTATCTCGCTGCATTGCACGAGTACGCTTCTAGTAATATAATTTATTTTAAAAGCAAATTCTTATATTATGGCATATTTCAATTTTGTTAAATTATCAAACATAATTTAATCTTTATTTACGGAATTTGAGAACTAATTTATGTTTTGCATTATTTAAATAGTGTGATATATTGATTAAAATAAAATGTTAGTTTTAACATAATTTAGCAAATATAAGCTAATTTATTTTTCGAATACATGTTTGGATGATAATAAAAGTTAGTTTATTGAAATGTTATTTGCAATAACGTTTTAAAAACTTATTGTCGTTTTTTATAATTATAACATTAATTAATATTAATTATCATGTACTACTATTGATTATAAATAAATATTAATTAATAATTAATTGTTACTCATATTTGTAAATAGTAATTATATTAAGTGAAAATTATCAATTAATTTTAATTATATATTAATTATTAATTATTTAGAGTTATTATTAACCGTATCAATTATTTTCATATTATTATCTTATATTTAGTTGTCAAAAAATAAACCTATCTATGTCATAGCAGAGAGTGCTCCTTGGGTGAGGAGCACGAGCGCAGTGTCCTTGTGTTAGACAGCTCTTTACTACCTAACATATGGGTCTCTTGAGGTACGAAACATAAAAACTAAAGTTATACTTATTTGGTTCATGGATGATAAACTTGTGTTAAATATTTTAATAAAAAATTTAATTTAATTATCAGTTATAATTTTAAAAAATCATTAACTAATTAGGATATGTGAGGTTGATCAATTTTATTTTTATTCGTATTTCATATAATGGTTATTTAAAATCATAAATTAATGTGGGTTTTATCTAGAAATTGTTTTAACAAATTCAAAAAATTTAATATATACACACATATATAATAATCAATTTGAAATATTTTTAATTAACATATTATATTATTTAATTTTTCTTTACTATCTTGTTTGTATTAATTAACTTATATATACTATATTATAAAACATTTGATAAAAACACTTAAAAATCATTTTTTATGCATGAAGTACTGTTTACTGATGCATATTACTTAAAATTCAAGATTACWAATAAATTGTGCGTAAGTACAACTTATTAAAGCTTCATGTTTGAATTCATGTAACTAACTGCAGATAAACATAGTCAAATACAAGATAAATATTTCATTTGAAATATAAAAAATTTAAAATATAATTAGGATAATCATTGAATTTTAACAGAATACTTAATTATTATCTTTATAAAAAAATTATGTTATTATATCAAAAATAAATTACATTGTTATTAAATCTAAATTAAATTATAATAAAGAAATTGTATTAAAAAAATTACACAAAAAACAAAAAAAATTAAATAGTTAATTTGATACTAATATTGATATATTTATTTTTGAAATTTTATGATATTTTCAAATTTATATTTTATTCAAAAATAAAAACATTATCTCTTTTTCAAAATCATATGAAAACCATATTAAAATATCTACAGATACGGAATAAAACGAAACATTAAAATTGAGATATATTTCTCCGAATTGCGTGAGTACCCTCCTAGTTATACTGTAAAAGATTTGTTTTAATTATATTATGAAATATTGTAAGTTAGTTTTTGTCAAACATAATCTTTTTCATGCTATCTTATCAACTCGTTTGCCAAACATAGCCTTATATTTTAGATGTAATTTATGTAATATTTATAAGTAAAAGTTGAATTACACATATTCAGACGTTTATCAGTTTACAAAAACAAACACTTCTATTGGTTCTGCTTTCAGAATTCAGCACCATCTCTTATTAGAGAAAGATCGATAGGTTTTATCTCTTAGCCATTTCTCTCCCAAAATTACGAAAATAACCATAGGTCCGCAATTGACAGGTACGCAATTTGCGGATGTGTCAAAGTGTAAAAAAATAAAGTTTTTGAACCAGATCCGCAATTACAGTAACCAAATATATAAATTAGTTAATGGGTCTACAAAAATATGTATGTGATGTGTTTTTCCAAATTTACATATTTGGTACCTTTAATTGCGGAACTTGTTCATAAACTTTATTTTTTTCCTTACACTTTGATCCCTTCATAAATTACAAGTCTGCCAATTGCGAACATATAGGTATTTTCGTAATTTTGGAAGAAAAAATAGCTAAGAGGTGAAACCATATGATCAAAGTGACTATTTTAATTAATTTGTCCCTCTTATTATCCAGAAATGAAATAATACGTCAAATATCAGCAACACTTAAAAACAAACACCACCTTAATAAAAAAAAGATTGTTTTTGCTAATAGAACTAATTAAACATGATTAAACATTACGTAATTAAATTGATTACAAACTAATAAATTTGATCAATAAAATATCGAAAGAAAATAATTCACATCTAACCAACATAACATACTATTTTTTATTTAAAACGACTAATCCTATGTTGATAATATTATTAAAATTTTCAAGTTCTATAACTGATCAAAATATGAAGAATAGAATATTTATAGCATATTAACACAACAGGCTCCCGTTGAATAGTGCGTGCTTTGTTATCCCCCAAAGGTTCCTTGATTAACTCCGTGAAAAAAGAAATATGGTAAATTAACTGCTCGGCGAATAAACACGCAATAACCATAAACATATCTATCACATGGATAACTAGTTTGACAAAAATCCGATAAATGAATAATAGATCGTCTGTGGAAAAATCACATATCAAAATTGGTTACCTCTTACTAATTATATAGCACAAAACAAGACGCAATGGATTGATAGGGTCGCTATCAGTAGTGCAATAATGACCCAATATATAGCAACCATATGTGGTTAATAGTGGGCATCAAAGATTAAACAGCAAAATGTATGCCATACGACATGTAACGACACTATATGATCTCGAATATAATACGATTGCTAAACAATCTTAAAATCAAATCAAATAACAAATTCGTGATGAAAATGTGTGCTTCACTGCGTATGATAAAACCATACGATCTAAAGTATAATGTGATTATATTAAAGATTAATCACAGATTAACAAATAACTAAATTCATATAAAAATAGCAATAATGWATAAATAAAAGACTTTTATTAGATAATTTATTAAAAGTTAAATAAATAATTAATTTCAAACAATATACAAAATTGATACATATGAAGCAATTGAAGCATGTTTGTAATGGTGCAGAAATAAGTCAATTAAATCGGCCAAATAAATGGATATTACCAAATATCATATAGGTATCCTACTTTGGAAACATAATTAAAGCAATAACTAACATTTTTCTACACATTTTTTTTATTAATCTGGATATCCAATTCGTTACGTGAGTCGACTAATCCCACGATGACTACCTGCTTCGTGGGTAGCTTGGAGTCACCACATTTGAATCTTCATGGCCACAAGGGGATTTTTTATTCTTCATTGGATTCAAACTTGAGACCTCCAGACACTTTTGACCTTTGGAGCCCAAGTTCAAACCAATCGGATACAACCCTTGTGATTATTTTTCTACACATTATAAATCAAAACTATGTGAGTTTATGTTTGGGAATAGAGTTTATGAAGCAATTGAAGCATGTTTGTAATGGTGAAACTGAAAGTAATTCAGAAATAAGTCAATTAAATCGGCCAAATTAATGGATATTACCAAATATCATATAGGTATCCTACTTTGGAAACCTAATTAAAGCAATAACTAACATTTTTCTACACATTTTTTTTATTAATCTGGATATCCAATTCGTTACGTGAGCCGACTAATCCCACGATGACTACCTGCTTCATGGGTAGCTTGGAGTCACCATATTTGAATCTTCATGCCCACAAGGGGATTTTTATTCTTCATTGGATTCAAACTTGAGACCTCCAGACACTTTTGACCTTTGGAGCCCAAGTTCAAACCAATCGGACACAACCCTTGTGGTTATTTTTCTACACATTATAAATCAAAACTATGTGAGTTTATGTTTGGGAATAG